GAAAGACTAAGGCGGCTTCCTTGCTTCTCAAATCACATAGACGCAGTTTCCAATCCTCAATTTACATTTTTATTTCTTATAGTTCTCCTAGACACTTTTCAGTATATTGTCCTCATTTCTTATAAACACATATATTAATCTAACATACACTATAAAAGGTCGGGATCTTGGTTTTGCCTGGTACTTTGATTCAATGCCTGGGATTTTAATATCGGGCATCTAGTAGCAGGTACATATTGGCGCCTTGAAACAAAACCGAATAGTCATATAGCGGGGTGTATCAACTTCATAAAAAAACTGTAATGGGGGATCCTCCTCTCACACGGTGCACTATTTGAACACCAGACCTCAGATTCTCTGATCACTGTACCTGTAAATGCCAGGTATATGTCACGTGAGGCTACGGTGTAATAGAATTCATGCAGCGCATGCAAATGTTCCTTTCAGTATAGTTTCTAGATCACTGTCAGCACCTCACATAGTTCTGATACATTTTATCCCTTTCGATCATTGTTCTCATATGTGTTTTCATATGATATCTGGTGAGTTAGGTTCATTTCTGCGCTCTGAAGCGTAAATAGTAGGTTATTCAAACCCTGCTCCACACTTAGTCTTACAGTACCTAGTCCGGCTCAACTGGACTTTAACATTCATCTATGCCTACCGGTGATCCTTAATGCTGAATACATACACTTGATATGATATATAAACGCTATACCTGGGTACAGAAAGTACCACACATGGTCTGGAACCTTGAGTAGGGGTTGTCCTTTCTCAATATGTAGCGTAATATGAATTAGATGGGATTTTTAGGGATGACAATGATGTGCGCAGTACAGTGGAGGGTGGGGGGGAGGGAGGGAGGGACCGGCGACCGTCCACCTGGCATGGTGTGAAGAATATTTTTTTTTTTATTAACTGAAGATATTTGTTTTAGCTCATAAAATTCATACAAATTACCCAGCCAGAAAATAATTTACATTGCTGGAATTCTTACAATTTGATGATCATTTTGAATATAAACATCATAGATTTTGCATTAGACATACAAATTTTAGATATAATGTTTACTCTGAGTAAATATGTTATCTTTTGTGCAAAATATATGACATTTATATTCAAAATATTCCTGGTTTTACAAGGAAT